GGGATTTGGATAGTAGATCTTGACTTAAATTGTTATGATTCAAAAGTATTTTTTAAAATGCATTTTGAATTAAAAAGGAACAGTTGGAGGGGCGCCTCGGTGGCTCAGTCAGTTAAGCTTCCAACTTCAGCTCAGGTCTTGATCTCCCAGTTTGTGAGTTCGAGCCCCCCTTTGGGCTCTGTGCTGACAGCTCAGATCTTATAGCCTGCTTTGGATTCTGTGTCTCCTTCTCTCTGCCCCTCCTCTACTTGTGCTCTGTCTCTCTCTCTCAATCTCAAAAATAAATAAACATTTAAAAATTAAGAAAAAAAAGGAACCGTTCTGGAGATATACATACTTCTTAGGAAGCCTTCTGGCACGATTTTATAACATTTTGTAATTTATAACACTCGCATGTCCTAGCCGAGACAACCCGAGGAGCAGAATTTCATCCCCTCATGAGTCTTCTGCCCTCCTGGTGCCTCTTTAATGTCTCAGAGCACACGCTGAAGTGCATGGCCTCCCACGATTGATCAGCAACAAAGAGCCCCACACTACTCAGGAATCAAGCGTAACAGTGTCTGCTTTAAGAGGTTGTCTGCATTTCTGGGTGTAAATTTTACAGAAGAGCAAACACGGCGTTCACACTACATCTGCCAGACCGCCCAAGGCACAGAAATTGGAAAACCCCCAGTGCGTGTTGCATTTTGCTGAGCCGTCTATTCATTTGTTTTGTTGATTTTTGCTATGAGAGGACAAAAAAATGGAATCCAGGATGTCTGTTCTAATATTCTTTTATATTTGTAAATTAAATATTTGGGAATGACCCTTGAGCGGAATAGTAAATGCTTGTATGATACCGTTTTGTACAACTAGATATTACACATGATGCAGCTTATAGAGCAGCGTCTCACTTTTAAGTTCACCTGTTGTAAATTGCGTGAAGTCTTGGACAACACACCATCTTCATTGCTTTTAGATTCTACTTAATTCGGGTGAGATCCTTTGTTTCCTTAAAATTAATAACACTTGAAAATAATCTCCTTTTCAAAAATAACTTCAATTTGCTAAGTTAGGATAAGATTCAAGTTCAATATTATTTGAGTCACTTAACAAATCATTTAAAAATTCAAGAATTTAACTTTATTTGAGGATATGCTTTAAAGTACTTTAAATATAATATGTGAATCATTGTTCTAAAAAAGCGTGTTTCCTCTTCTCCCCAAGGTATTAATCCTCTGAAACTATGAGGTATTGGTGTCTAATTTTTCTTTCCTGGAAGAGGAAATGAGTATTTTCAGATACATAGATGTATAAATAGATATAAAAACATATATAGTATATGTATGTGTATTTGTATATGTGCATATATATGAAGCAAATCTTCTTTCAGTTATTTTGCTTAAAATCAGTCATCTTACCAATTTTAGTTTTGCATGTTGATGTTTTATTTTTTAATGTTTATTTTTGAGAGAGAGAGACAGAGCGTTAGTGGGGGAGGGGAAGAAAGGCGGGGGGAACATAGAATCTGAAGCAGGTTCCAGGCTCCCAGCTTTCACCACAGAGCCCAACACAGGGCTCGAAGCCACGAACTGAACTGTGAGAACACAGAGCCAAAGTCAGATGCTTAACTGACTAAGCCAACCCAAACTCCCCAGTTTTGCATGTTAATGTTAATGAGATAATTATAAATAGAAAAACAAACATGCAAAAAAGATGTATTAAAATTAACTTTTCAGCAACGTGACAGAAGTGTAAATTCATGGTGACAGAGAATAAAAGGGCTCCTCTGGACAGTCTACACAGCAACCCTGAGAAACGGGTTGGTTATTTTACAAGGCTGAGTCTAGGTCACTACAGATTTTAGAAGGGAGCATGACAAATCCCACCAGGCTTTCCTCATAGTTTTATTTTACAGATATTATTTTACATGGCATGGGTACAATTTTTGGTCATAAATCGATACTTTTAATTATTTTGATACCCTCATGTCCTCCTCAGCATCAAAGGAAACGTCTTGAAAATTGACGGCTAACATTTTTAAAATACATGAAATATATCTATAGATTTTTCTCCACCTCAGACACTAGCTGGTGATTGATGTACTTCTAGGATGGCACTGAGTCATGAATGGAATGAAATCTTTTCAGCAAAATCCTTCATTTGCAGTTAAAGCAGGTGTGATGGAAAAGCAAACACTGAACCCTGATCAAGCAAGTCAAAGCTGGTACCCTCGTCGAAGAAGGGAAATACCCAGTTCCTGCTCACCCTAGCCATCCTCTCTCACCTAAGGCAGGAAGGATGGAGACACACTTGTCAAGTCCACCTGTTAAGTCCAGAACTGAGACCTTACCCAGGACTAGAGAAGGCTTGCCCTCCCTCCGGCCTCCCCACACCAGTAATGGCCTACTTACAGCATTTCCTTTTACCTGATGTGTCATGTCTGGTTATGAAGATGAAATAAGAAAGGAGAACAAATAGAACCATGTAAAATGCACGATTAACATAATAAAATGCAGAAAAAGAGGAGACAAAAACAGGAAGAAAGAACAAGAAAAACAAGCAGAAAACAGCAACAAATATTGTAGATATTAATACAATGACATTAATGATCGCTTTAAACATCAGCAGTCTCAAATGCACCAATTTTATTCCATTTATTTGCTTATTTATTTGAGAGAGAGAAAGGATGTGCAAGATGGGGAAAAGGGCAGAGGGAGAGGGAGAGAGAGCGAGAGAGAGAGAATCTCTAGCCGGCTCCATGCTCAGCATGGAGCCTGATGTGGGGCTTGATCCCACAACCCCAGGATCATGACCTAAGCCATATCAAGGGTCACATGCTCAACCACGGAGCCACCCAGGAGCCCCTAAACGCACCAATTAAAAAGCCAGAGATTATCAGAGTGGATCCAAAAACAAGTTCCAATGACATGTTTTCAAAAAGGAACCCACCTTAAGTATGAAGACATATGTAGATTAACAGTAAATAGATATAGAAAAACATACCATGCTAATATTAGTACAAAAAATATAATTAAAACTTTCATTAAAATATACTATGCTAACATTAATTTAAAAGGAGGGTAGTTTTTTTTTTTTTTAATGTTTTATTTATATTTATTTCTAGGAGAGAGAGAGAGACAGCGCGAGCAGGGGAGGGCCAGAGAGAGAGGGAGTCACAGACTGAAACAGGCTCCAGGCTCTGAGCTGGCAGTCAGCACAGAGCCCGACGCGGGGCTCGAACCCACGAACCGCGAGACCATGACCCAAGCGAAAGTCGGACGCCCAACCGACCAAGCCACCCAGGCGCCCCAAGGAGGGTAGTTGTTTTAATTGCAGACAAAGAAGACTTCAAAAGGAAGGTTATCAGGAATAAAGAATGTCATGACATATTGATAAATTGGTCAGTCCTACAAGAAGACATAACAATCTTTAACACTTAACAACAGAGGCAGAAATTGATAGAACTACAAAGAGACATAGATGCATCAGCTATCATAGTTGGAGTCTTCAGTATCCCTCCATCACAAAGGGCAGATCCAGCAGCAGAAATGCAGTAAGGACATAGGTAAACTCAACAGCGCCATCAGTCGACGAGATATAATAGACATCTATAGACAGCTTCATCAAAGAATTCTTCGCAGTTCTCATGGAGCATTCACCAAGATACACCACATTCTGGGCCACAAAACATACCTGAACAAACTTCACAGAATAGAAATTGTACAAGATCTGCTATCAGATTACAGTGGAATGAAACTAAACGTCAAAAAATCAATAAATAAACTAAAAATCAATAATGGCAAGATAGCTGGAAAATCCCAAAATGTATGGAGTTAAACAACACACTTCAAATCAATACATGGGTCAAAGAAGAAACCTCGAGGGAAATTTTTAAATATTGGAACTAAATGAAAATGAGAACAAACCTGTTGAACTTTTTGTGTTAGAAGAAGTAACGAATTCAGCATGCTGAGAAGTACATTAAAAAACTTAACTCCTACAACAGTATTATTGCCATGTGCTTGTGAGCAGTTGGGGAAATGGGCATCTGCCCGTTTCTGGGGGCTGGGAAGAAATAAAACGTGCACAAGTCGTAGCAGAAGAATGTGTGCTCCATACAAAGTTTGAAGCTGGAGTAAATAAGTGTGTTCAAGGGGCGCCTGGGTGGCCTAGTCGGTTAAGCGTCCGACTTTCGCTTAGGTCATGATCTCGCAGTTTGTGGGTTCGAGCCCCACGTCGGGCTCTGTGCTTACTGCCAGCTCAGAGCCTGGAGCCTGTTTCAGTCTGTGACTCCCTCTCTCTCTGACCCTCCCCTGCTCAGGCTGTCTCTCTCTCTCTCTCTCTCTCCTAGAAATAAATAAAACATTAAAAAAATTAAAAAAAAATAAGTGTATTCAATATTTATTAATTTCCAAATGAATAAGGAATTGCTAACCTGGGTGCGTGAATCATGGGTGGGCCTTGGTGAGAGAATGTGGTGAGGTGGTAGTGGTTACATGGAGTTATGAGCACTCTGCATTTTTCAGGGAAGCAGGTCCATTGCTTATGTTTAATGACCTCAAATTTTCAAGTCAGTTTTTCTACCAGTTTACAGGTGCCCTTCGCATTGTTACTATGGTCCTACCGAGAATTGCATGATGGTTGAGAGTTAGGAGAATGGTGAGTTGTTAGATCCAATCAGTATTTAACAAAAATTCATCGAGAATCTTCTATATGCCACAGCAGCTGTTGTTGGCAGAAGATGCAATTTTCATAAGAGCACAGAGTCCTTGCTTTTGTGGAGTTATTTTCCATAATTTTTAGACTATCTCGAAATTCAGCAGACAAGGATCAAAACTGAGGGCAGAAGAGATGACATGTTTGTTTCATCCTATATTGGTTTTGGCTACAGTTCATTGGAAATGAGTACAAATATTCTGTGGAGATTGGTTTAAGAGAGTAATAACTGATTATTTTGTTGCAGCACTCTGGTATACGGCCTCTACCGTTCACTAAGTGAAAAATATTTTTCTTCCAAGGTAACTGAACTGCACAACATCAAAAATATAACCAGACTGCCTCGAGAGACAAAGAAGCATGCAGTAGCAATTATCTTCCATGATGAAACGTCAAAGACATTTGCCTGTGAGTCAGGTAAGCAATTATAGCCTCTGTCTACCGCTTGTGGAAATGGAGCCACTCCTGAGAATGGCCCAGATGGATTAAGTTACAGCACCACCAGGGAAGGCGGCATCGGGGTAAGACTGGGCTGTAGAAGACTTGAGGAGGAAGCTCAACATACTGATTTCTACAGATGTTTGGGTGCTTGTTTATTCTCTCTGTGTCTGGATTTTGCTCCCGGTTGGTCAGAGGATTCTGGAGGTTTCCATTCAAGCTTGAAGAGTTAAGTTAAACAGTGCCTGCGAGATGTGGTCAGGGCAGCTTGCGACTTGTATTCTGGTTCTTTCCGGGTGCAGATGTAGGCATTTGCTGGGAGAATAATAAGGCTGCCAAGCGGAAGTGTGGCTCAGCACAGCCGAAGTCCCCAGACATTCTAAGACAGAGCTTTGAGCAATTGGTTGCTTTCATGGCTTCTCAGTACTACAAGGGAACACATTTCAGATTGCATTTTAGCATCCCAGCTCATAAAGCACTCAGACATCGTTGAGACACAAGGCAGTTTATAGTTTGAACCGGCAGTATTTTTCATTTTGAAAGCCCTGTGCTATGTAATGTATTAGTTGGCTTATTATAGCTTTTTAAGGATTTTGCTCAATGAAGTGGTGCATTCGTTTTACAAAGGATGGAAGCAAAAGGCAGTAAGGTTCGACAGACATGAGTTTAAAATAACAGGTCTTTAGTAGAAGCCTTACTGAGTATTTTTTGAAAAGGAAATAAAGCTTCTGGGTTTATAAAGTTTATAGGTATAATACCAGGTTCTCTTATTCTAAAATTGATAACGTTGCCTTGCCTAAATAAAATTGTTCATACCTCCCTCCTCACTACACTTCCTCTGTTTTGCTAAACCAAATTTGGATTTATCAAAGTGTTTCTCTTTCCTTGGATGCTTTTAATCCCTTTTGCCATACTTCTTCCGCCCATCATCTGGCCTCATTTCATCATTTAAAATTGACTTTTGGCATTGCATAGAAGTCTGGTAACTGGTGATATCAATTCCATTTTGTAACAGAGCCGGTTCCCGCCTTGCGGTTATTCACATATAAAAGTATGTGTGCCTTCTTGTTCACTGTCTGACCATTTCGTTTTCCTCTGAGCTCTCAGATCTTGTCTCTTACTGAAACTAACAACCAGAAAATTGATCTTCTAAAAAGGATAGAAGATAATTTTCACGATTTTTTGTGTTTGTATGGCTTTACATTTTTGAAATTATACTGGGCCATGTTGGGTGTATACTTAGGCAACATTGAAGTCTGTTATTTCAGTGAATGTTATTGAGTTATGTTTCTGAAATTTGGACTTAAGAGTCATAAGCCACAAGTCTAATGTTGGAATCTTTTTACAATTATTTTTATTTTTATTTATTTTTTTATTTTTTGTTGCAGTGGTGGTTTGATGGTTCATGTAAGATTTTTGAGAAATGAAGGGTCCTTCATTAAAACAAAATGGCCTTAATGTCCAAGAGGAGAATTTGCAGACATATAGGCTGAAGCTAGATCCGAGTCTAAAAATAAAAGAATGGTTTTATTTGAATTCCTAGCAAGGAGTTTTCAACTAGTTTAAATTATGACCTATTTGAATTATTTGTTTTTTAAGTCACTTTTTTTATATGTAGATAGAGCAGTCTGCTTGAAGCTAGGAAGCTAAGAGTAAAAGTATATAAGAAACTGTGGCGTGAGTTTATTAAATTTTCTTAACTTCATGGAGCATGAAAGTGGAAAACAAAGAAACTACTTGAAACACATAAACAGGGAATTTGAGTATCTTTTCTAGCAAATTATATTTTTTAGATCAGTGTTAAGATCAGTAGTCCATGTCTGTTGACAAAAATGGCAAAATTATTTGGAAAAAAAGACTCCCAATGGTAAAGCAATCACAGATGTGAAAATCAAACTAGCAATATTGTTAAAGCCAAAATTAAAAGGAGCACTCAGATTTATTTCTAATGCGAATGTGTGTAAAAGTGTATTCTCATGATAGCTACTGAGAATGTGGATTGCCTCAGTTTTTTTTTGAGAAGACAGACAGCTGCTACTCTTTGAGAACATATCCTGTATAAATATATGCACCAGTCCATGAGGTCGTAGGTTTAAGCAAATTATGTGTAATGACAACAAAATTGGAAACAAATGAATGGCAATCAAGAAAATACTTGAACAAATTGCAGTATATCCTTATCACGAGATATTATGCAGTCCTTAGGAAGAACTCTAAGTAAGCCAACTGAGTTGAAGACATGTGTATGAATTTTAGTACCTCAAGCAAAACACATCAGCAGAGAAGTGGATACTGAATAATCACGTTTGTAAAAGAAACAATGAGAGAGATAGTGTGTGTTTTACCAAGTGTTACCTGGGGTGACAGCAGATGATAATAAAGTGGTTGGAAAAGGAAGGGGGGAAGGGGGAAATGCAGGCAAAAAAGGGAAAAGAAAATAAATTGAACAGAAGAAAATACCTCACTTAGAAACTATCCTATTTACATGAAATGAATATGGGAATGTGTGAGTGCACGCATCCAGTGCTTAAAGTAAGTTAGTCACCAGGGAAATGCAAATTAAAAACTACAGTAAGGAAAATAAAACACAATAAGATATCACTATGCCCCTGTCAGAATGGGCTAAAAGTTAAAAAAAAAAAAAAATAACACCACTAAATGCTTGTGAGGTTGCTTAGAAACTAGATCACTCATACATTGTCAGGAATGTAAAACGGTAAAGCCACTTTGGAAAATAGTTAGCAGCTTCTTTTTTTAAAAAAAATTTTTAAAATTGTCTTTTATTTATTTATTTATTTATATTTTATTTATTTCTGAGAGAGAGAGACACACAGCGTGAGCAGGGGAGGGTCAGAGAGAGAGGGAGACACAGAATCTGAAACAGTCTCCAGGCTCTGAGCTGGCTGTCAGCACAGAGTCCGACGCGGGGCTCGAACCCACGAACCCTGAGATCATGACCTAAGCGAAAGTCGGACGCTTAACCGACTAAGTCACCCAGGAGCCCCCCCTTTTTTTTTTATTTTAAATGTTTTATTTATTTCTAGGAGAGAGAGAGAGACAGCATGAGCAGGGGAGAGTCAGAGAGAGAGGGAAACACAGATTTGGAAACAGGCTCCAGGCTCTGAGCTGGCTGTCAGCACAGAGCCCGACCCAGGGCTCGAACCCACGAACCCTGAGATCATGACCTAAGTGAAAGTCGGATGCTTAACCGACTAAGCTACCCAGGTGCCCCAGTTTCTTATAAAATTAAACATGTAATGATTACACACTCCAGCAATTGCGTTCTTGGACATTTATCTCAGGGGAAAAAAATATGGAAATTTATGTTCACGCACATACATATACAGGTACAAAAAAAACATTCATGATAGCTTTGCTTACAATAGCCAAAAACTAGAGAGACCCCAGATGTCTTCCAACAGACTGTGGTACACTCACACCATGGAATGCGCCTCAGCAATAAAGAGAAGCACACTATTGATAAAGGCGGCAACCTGGATGAGTCTTGAATGAATTATGCCACGTGAAACGAAGGCAGTCCCAAAAGATTACATATTTTGCAAATCCGTTTGTGTAACATCTGTGAAATGACAAAGTTTAGAAATGGAGAACAGATTTGCTGTCAGAGTTTCAGAATGGGATTGGGGGTATGGGGGGCCCGGGGGAAGATGGGACATAAGAATACCATGACCTTGTGCTGGCACTGAACACTTATGCTGATTGTAACGGTGCATGAACACACCCACACAGGTGGCGAATTATGTAAAGAACTTACACACACACACAAGGAAGTACAAGTAAAACTGGGGAAATCTGAATAAGATCAGATCATCATTATCTTGGCTGTGATATTATACTATAATTTTGCAAAATATTACCTTCGGGGGAAAGTGAGCGAAGTTTACACAGAATCTTTCTGTAATATTTGTTATTACTATACATGAATCTATAATTATCTCAACAATTTTTGCTGCAGAAAATATATCTATACTCTCTCTAAGGTCACCTGTGATACATGTTTAAGTTAAAAGAAGGCTAGAGGGGACTTGCAGGGAAAAAAAATGTATTCTAATGTGGTAAAAAGAAACTGACAATAGTAACGGCAAAGAACAAAAATAAATGATCCTGAATGTGTGCCTGTGTAGCTTCTGTATGTTTTGTGAACACAAAGTAATGAGGGCAGGGGGACATATGTGTTTGGTGTCCCTTCTAACAGGGACTCCTTGCGTGAGCCCCTCCCCAGCCTATGATGCCCCTGTGTTCCGTTTCTCCTGGCCATTTCCACATGGGCTTCCATTCTGGCCCTGGTATCTCAGGCCCTTGACTGTAGTGCCTCTGCTCTCCAAATCCACAGCACCCTGACCTTGGACTTCATATATCCTGTTCACAATGTCTCCATCATATTTAGGCTCAGTGAAGACATGGTCATATTTTCTTTCTCACCTCAGAATCTCTCACACCGCAAGGCGCATACAAATTTGTTGAATTAATGAAGTAATGAATGAGCAAAATCTGTATTTAAGTTTTGTTATAATGATATATTTATATTCAGCTTTTCCTAAGAGGTCTTTTTTTTTTTTCCAAAACAAGTTTTAGAAACTAACGTGGTGGCCCCATGGGGAAAATTGTTTAAACTGCCAAATGCCAGATTGTTGTGTGTTTGTGATAGGGTGAGAGGGAGTAAATGATCGTTGTGCTGTGTGTGTGTGTGTGTGTGTGTCTGTGTCTGTGTCTGTGTCTGTGTCTATGTGTGTGAATTGTCATGGCCTACCAGATTTGCTGCAGCAACTCTATGAGTAGAAGTTTGTGGAACACAAATAAGAATTTCTGGAGTTTGCCTCTTACTTGAAAAGACCCCTTGCTCCTTTTTCTGAATATGTTCAGTCTCAAGTCGATGCCTAGTAAATGATGGAGCAGGTGGCTTAGATGTTGGAAACCCAGAATCTGGCTAATAGATTCTACTTATCTTCATTACAGAA